GAAGCACTGCAGGTGCAAAATGACAGCAATTTAAAGCAACACAAAAGCCTGGTAGAATATGTTACTTTCTGAATATTTGAGTAACAGGAGGAAAAAGGCAAGGTAGAAACCCAAGACCTGTAACATCTGTAGCAAATCTTAAAGATGAGCTTCAATGTGATATTACTTATCAAAAAAATTAGGTGTTCATGTCTTTTGACCCATAAATTTCATTCTGGGCAACTAAATTTGGAAATAATGTGGGCACAGATTGATGTGTAAGATGGCATACAAGATCTATGAGTGGGGCGCCTGGGTGGCTCAGTCGGTTAAGCATTTGCCTTCAGCTCAGGTCATGATCTTGGGGTCCTGGGATCCAGTTCTGCATCAGGCTCTCTGTTCAGTGGGAAGCCTGCTCTCCCTCTCCCTCTGCCCCTCCCCCCTGCTCCTATGCCTGCTTTCTCTCTCTCTCTCAAACAAACAAACAAGATGTTTTAAAAAAGAGATCTATGGATAAGGGTTTCTCTACTGCATTATTTATAACAGTGAAAAATTAGAAACAATTTAATATCCAGTAATGGGGAAGAGAATGTTTCAGGAAATCAAAGTAAATCTACCTGATGGAACATTATGCCTTCTTCGTTAAGAGTGATCGACAGGAAGACTATGTTGTAACAGGGCAAATACTAGGTATGACCCAAAGTTAACAGAAACAGCAGGATATAGTGACCACGAATGTCATTATGTGAAAAGCATGCCTGTACATGAACGGTCTGAACAGGGGATTTTGTAAAAATAATCCCTGTCACTGCATCTGGGTTGGGGGTTCCTGGAAGAATTTTTTTTTTCCGTTATCCAAACTTTCAGTGTGGTTATTATATTGTCTTAAAAAAGGGGGGGGAGTAGCTCCCGGGTGGCTCAGTCATTAAGCATCTGCCTTTGGCTCAGGTCATGATCCTCGGGCCCTGGGATCGAGCCCCCGCATCGGGCTCCCTGCTCCGCGGGAAGCCTGCTTCTCCCTCTCCCACTCCCCCTGTGTCTCTCTCTGTCAAATAAATAAATCTCAAAAAAAAAAAAAAAAAAAAAAAGAGCTACCCAACTGCTTTTTTAAAATCTGGAAATGTGAGGGAAAAAACGAGGTTTCCATTGTTTAATATTCTGCCCCCATTATGCATCAAATAAACGTTAACCACGTTTTGCTAAATAAACAAATCTCAAAAATGTACAACACAAATACTTTTCTTTTCCACACAGATCAGATGCTTTGGTCATAAAGGGATTGGCAGCCTGAGGTCTCTTAGACTAAGTTAACTACGCTTTCCCTAACAATTCCACTTACTAAATCATTCTGAAATGTATCTTCCCATGACTTGACAGAGATTTACTCAAAATACGTGCCCTGCGCAGCTGTAGATGTTCAGGATCCAGCAGTGAACAGAGCAGACACAGACTCGGCCACTGTGAAGCTCAGCACACACCTGGGGGTGAGGAGAGCAACCGTACTGTACGTAGCCCGGCCTGGGAGAGCCTCTCTGAGAAAGCACCACGGCAGCAGACGTCTGAAGGAAGGACGGATGGAGCCCGGGGGCAACCTTTGAGAACAGCGGTCCAAGCACGCTTGGTGCCCTAGGGCAAGTTGACTGGCGAGGCCAGAACTAACAGGAGGGAGAGTGGTAGGTGTCTGGGGTGGGGAGGTCACCAAGAGCATCAAAGCCCACAGTAAAGAGCTGGCTTTGTATCCTCAGTGAGAGAGGGAGCCACGAGAGGACAAAGCGGTAACATGGTTTACCCTTAACTTTCTGTGATGCTAGAAAAGCTTCCCATCTATTCGTTCGGTAGCCACCAACCAGGTGTGGCGATTTAGGTTTAAATCAATTAAAATTAAAATTTCAGTTCTTCCACCCGACTGGTCACGTTTCAAGTGCTCAGGTGGCTGAGGGCCACCCTGGACTGTGGTTTTAGAGGATCGTCAGAATGCTGGGTGGAGAAGACACCGGAGGCAGGCAGGTGCTGAAGAAAGCAGGGCAGGACCAGTCGGGAGGCCACTTCTGGGAGAGAAACAGTGGTCGCCTGCCATGGGTCATGCTAGCAGAGGTGGTAGGAAATAGGTTCAGAACAGAGTTCTGAGGGGAATTTGTTGATGGAACGTGAGCTGAGAGGACCCCCCAACTAGCTCTGAGATCTGTGGCCTGAGCACCTGCAGGATGGGAGTGCCATTTACTTGGAGGAAGAGGATGTTTTAGAAGGGAGTATGGGATGGAATCACAAGCTCTGTTTTGGACATGTTGACTTGAAGTGCCTGTAAGGCATCCTAATAGAAATGCCCAGAAGTCTATGGAATTGAGAAGATAGATCTGGGCTGAAGACACAGTCTTGCGACTGTCAATATTTAGAGCCATTCACTGGGCAAAATCACCCAGCAGCGGCCGTAGATGGTGAGAAGAGGAAGAGGGTCAAGAAGTCAGACTGGGGCTCTCTGATGGTAAATGTTGGGGAGGTAAGGAGAAGCTCGTAGAGGAGATGGACAAAGAAAGGCAGGTGGAGAACCACTGTACAAGGTGTCCAAAAGCCAAATGAATGAAAAGTTTCAGAAGGGAGGGCGTGACCATCTATGTCAGATGCTGCTGATATGGTAAGAAGAGACTGGAGAACAGACCACGATATTCCACAACACGAAGGTCATCTGTGATCTTCATACTGTCTTAATTCTCACTGCCACCACCTTCCCTGGACTCCTTTGCTCTAGTAAGTCTGCTATTCAAACATGTCCTCTACATTTCTGTCAATGTTATTTTTCTAAAACATAAGTTTTCCTGCATTGCCACTCAGCTGAAAAATCTTGCCCAATACTACAGTATCTACGGCAGCAGCAGCTAAACTTTAGGGTGCAGATAAAAATCACCAGGGGGTGACTAGGCCCTAACTCCCAAGATTCTGTCTCAGTAGATTGGGGGAGTCCTGGGAACTGTATTTTTAAGTAGCAACCCAGATAACAGTTACAAGGGACAAAGTCCAAAGTCCAAACTCCTTAGCAAGGCAAACAAAGCTTTTCCAAAACTGGTGCCGAACTTCCTGACTAGTTTTTTCCTATGCCACTCTAGACAACATCTATATGCTTCAACAAACTCAAACTAATTATTCAAATCACTTGCATTGTCCCAAACATACCATGTTCTTCCAGATATTACTGCTCCTTATCCAAGCTGCTCCTGCTGCTTAGAAGGCAGCTTTAACCCAGCCGTACTCAGCAAACTCTTGACTCATCCCTCAAGACCCAGCTTAAATGTCATTCCTAGTGCGAGGCCTCACCCAGCTCCCAAACTGTGTTAGACATTTCTTTTCTTTTTTTTTTGACAGAGACATATTGAGAGAGGGAACACAAGCAGGGGGAGTGGGAGAGGGAGAAGCAGGCTTCCCACGGAGCAGGGAGCCCAATGCGGGGCTCGATCCCAGGACCCTGGGATCATGACCTGAGCCGAAGGCAGACGCTTAACAACTGAGCCACCCAGGCGCCCCTGTGTTAAGACATTTCTATGTAACATTTATCATGCTGCCTATTTGCTGAGTACTCTGCCATCATCCCCACCAACTCCAGGAGGGTATGATAGGAGACGGCAGTTTCTTCATCTGTGCAAGGCCAACTGCACCACCAGGCACACTGCAGACATCTGATAACCACAGGACTGTGGTCTGACCCCAGGCATGTTGGAGGGTGCTCTGGGAGTTAAGAAGACGCAGTGACTGGAGTGCTGGGGAAGTTGGCAGCAGCTCTGTCTACAGGACAGACTGCCCGGGGGACGACTGGAACTTAGAGAGAGGGGCAAGGAAGGAGAGACACCAAGAGGACCCCCACACCCCCGGTGCAGGACCATGGGAGACGAGAGGGTGGGGCGACGAACATTTTCTCCCCTACTACGATAGTTATGGACTCAGTGTCAAACTCAGAATTTGAAATCTATAGGATATGGTTCCAAATAAATATTTTAAGCCTATGTCTTATATTTCAAAAACGAAACAGCAACAAAACCTGACCCTTTACAACCTGTTGGTTGGACCTAGTAAGTGTCCCACCCCCTTTTATAGGACGGGACAGACTCATGGCTCTTTATCTTGATTCACTGAAGTAACAGTCTACGGAGACTAAGTCACACACTGAATCCTTACATGGGCTCCTCAGCTTTTATATTGCTCCTCAGATCCATTTTCTCACAAAGAGGTATAAGGGACAGTTTGTGGCACAAATCTCTCCCGTGTACCCTGCAAACAACTCACTGCACATCTCCTACCAAGAAACGGACCTAAAAGGTTTCCCGAAAGACTTTACCCCACAACACAGAGCTGCTGCAAGAGTAAGTCTCTGCCACTTCATTCTAAATCCCCCCTCCCAGAGCACCTAGTCAGTATTTCAGAATCCATCTCCTCAAAACTTCTCAGAGTAACCCAGAGCCTGGCTCTTCTCCTGTTTATCTGCAGGTAAATCCTCAAGGGCAACCAACTTCAGAATGTTGACACATCAGGATTTATAAAGTAGTTTCATTTACATGCAATTAAAACAATCAATGCAGTATTAGAAAAATATAGAGACGTCTAAAAGGAATGTAATCATAACGCTTTTCATGCAAAAACATCTTTGTATGTATGATACAATAAAGAAATGAGTTTGACATTTTGTTCTAAAAATTTTGATCTGGGGGCACCTCGGTGGCTCAGTCAGCTAAGCGTCTGATTTTGGCTCAGGTCATGATCCCAGCCTCCTGGGATCAGGCCCCGCATCAGGCTCCCTGTTCAGTGTGGAGCCTGTTTCTCCTCCTGCCCCTCCCCCTGCTTGTGTTTTCTCTCTCTCTTCTCAAATAAATAAAATCTTTATAAATAAGTAAATAAATATCTTGATCTAGATTTTTTACGTTTTAGACATTTAGGTAACTATTATTCCTTTTATGCTCATAAAACCTGTCAGTTGGTGACTGATAACCACCGGGACAGGCTTTATTGATGAATTGTGGAAACATAAAATTGCTTACCTGGGGGGAAATAAACTGGGGAGGCACTTGCGCCCGGAGATTAGGAGAAGAATTCAGTGGCTGCACTGGCGTGTGCATACCTCTCGATTGTGCTGTGCTATTTCCAAACAAACCATGATTGCCACCCTGTAAACGTAACAGCAACAGTAAGGCTTTTTGTTAATGTAAGAAAATGCAAAAAAGAAACAGTTCTGGTTTTCTAACCCTCAGAAGAATCATATCCTGTGTTCCATGGAATCACAGAATTTTATAACTGAAAAGTTCCTGGTCTTGGAATGCCTGGGAAAATTATTCAAATCTAATCATGCACATAGCACCACCACCCCTGCAGTCGGATGCACTCTATAACCAAAAGGGTTAAATTTGGTCAAATGTTAAAAAAATGCACTAATTTTTTTTTTTGTAATTGAAACATATAGGCAATATAATGTTTATTTCAACTACTCTCTCTTTTCTCTTTTTTTAAAAGACTGCATTTACCAAATTTATTCTCAAGTCCAATAATCTGAGCTCCATCTTGAAAGGCACCTGAGTACAAATGCAGGCTTCTTCTGAATAATAGCAAGTGTAGAACACCACTAGGACATAATGTCTCTGAATTGATTAGTTCAATCATAGAATCAGTGCCACCAAATCGTAGCCTAGCTCCATGAGAACCCTACTCCAGATCTGAACACCCTTCCCTGTCTTGCGTCTGCTTGATCCCTTCTTTGCTAGATGAGAAAATCTAAACCAAGAGTGAGATTTAAAAAAAAAGAAAGAAAAGAAAAGAAAAAAGAAAAAAGAAGCAGAAAAGGGAAAAAGTGAAAAACCATTACAGGGACACCAAAAAAAAACCATTACTCACCTTTAACTTCTCATTCCAATGTATGAACATTAGTCTGGTTAAAAATAAGCTTAATTCCCTGATTTCTGGAGGACCAACTCACTGGAGCACTTCTAGACTATTCTAATCAAAGAGCTACAGGAAACTGGGCTAGATGACGGCCCTTCTGTTCTGACTTGTTTCAAGCCGAGAACAGCCCTTCAGCAAAGAACTTGACACTGTTCCCTCTGTCTGAGGACAGCTTCTACACCATCTCCACTTGGCCTCTTCAGGGCCCAGCTCAGAGGTCATCCTCATAAAGGAAGTCTTCCCCAAACCTTCTTCCTCATATCACATTCAAATTAACTGAGCCCACCTCTATGTTCTCAAAACACTTTAAACACTCTTTGATAGCACCCATCAGCAAGTCATATTAATTTTCCATTCTGTCTTTCCACCACCAGCTTAATACTTCCCTCTTTGTATTCCCAGAACTCAATAAAGTCCTAGTCTGTAGGACGCAAACGTCATTATCAACCAATTCCATATACTTGACAACATCCCACTGAATATCTTTAGTGAAGACAGCCGTACCACTGCTTCTACCAAGTATGTGTATTCTGAAGTCACAGAAGATGAGAAGTCACATCTTCTCCCTGGCATAGTGGGGTTTCAGGTAATTTTAAAGAAGAATTCTGTAACAGCACCCGTAAGTTCTAGAACACTGAAGATATTTCAATGGCTTAATGATTCAAAATAGATTAAGGGACTGCTACCGGGAAATTAATGAACTTAAAAGCACTGAAAATAAAAATGGCTATGAACATAAAGTAGAAAAGGCAATCAAAATCTGTGTATATCTCATATAAGAAAATAAAACATCCATCATGAATTTTAAATCTCCCCAAAGACTGTTTAAACATGAAAAGACCTTTAATTCTACAAGCTGTAATGTCTCCACTTCCCCTGTCTTACTAATCAAACTGTCACTCTAAGGTGACATGGTTTGGCTCTAATTTTTCTAAGATCGTGGGAGTTGGTAGCTTACCTACTGATCATTCTCAAGAACACAGGAAACATCTGTGTCACTGAGAATATTCTGCTAAGATCATTCTCACACTTTACTATAAAAGTAATGACCTTGTTATGAGATGCTAATTACTCATGGTTGGGTCCTTGGATGGTGGGGTTTCTGGTAGCTGAAGTTCTTTGCCAGAATCCATGTTTTAAAAAGTCCAAAACTGCTTTAAATTCCAACCTCTCTTTTGGTAAGAAATATCAGAAAGAATCTGCCTTTTTTTTGTTTTTGTAAAATCAGGCCCTATTTGCACATTCCCAGTGGACAGATGCCACCCCCACCCCACTGCCCAGAGGTTTTAGGTTTGCTTTATCAAGTGTCTCTAAAGCCGTATCAAGCCCTGTGATAGGTCTGATATGGGTAATAGTATAGATGAGTCAACAGGAGTCTATCAAAAAACACCTTCTCTCTTTTTAAATATGGAACCCTGGCACTGCTGCTCATTTTCTTGGCTCAGAAGTAGCTATTTCGCAGAGTAATAAGTTTAGTGGCAATCATACATAGTTTTTTTTAAGACTGTATTTAGAAATTAGGAAAACGGTCATCAAATGCTTATATGTATGTTAATGGCGGTCTATCTGGTTATTTCTACAGCTTTACTGTTGAATATAAGGCTTTTATGATGACCTGAGTCTTAGTATTTATTGGTGATGGCTGCCTCAGCTACAGTGTTTAAAATAGAAAGGCATATAAATTAAAAACAAGGTTACCAAGCTGATTGAAATTTGTGACTTGAAAATAAAAGTCTTACATTTTAATTTTTAATTATGAACTATATTAAGCCTGCATGAAAATGGTGTAGAAGAACCACGACCATATTTAGATAAAACGTGTATCCACCGGATTCACAATGGACTTTGTAGCATTCCATTTTTAGGATAAAAAAAAACCAAAGAGGAATGACCTTTTCTTCCAGTGCCAGCTACTTTGGCTGGTCTGTTATACTAAAAATTATATACTAATGGCTCTTGATAAATGTGCAATTCTGTAGGCATGTTTGTATTTATCATTAATCAAGAGTGTGAGGACTATTTTATATTTTCTATACCTCAGTCCAAAAAAAAAGAGCTGCCCCAAACCACTGATATAATTATTTCTTCTTTGTTTATATAAGCTATACATGTCTATGTCCTCTGTGGAAACATTAAGAAAAACAGTGAAATATAAAAAAAGAAAACAAGAAATTACCCATAACTCCCAAACCGGAGATAACCAACTGAACACATGGATATCATATGATCCATTTTTAAAATGTGCTACAGCAATAATTAGAAAGCATATGAAAGACCTGTGTGCAACTGAAGGATTATGGTGTGAGAGGTGTTTTATAATACCTTTTCACTTGTTTGTGAAAGTCAGCATGTGGAAACAGAATGGATACAATTAATAATTAAATGTCCTTCCATGACATCCTGAGGTGAGAGTCACAGTGACAGGTAAATTGGTCACAGAACTGTGGCTAGGAAAATATCATCACTGGGGTCACTATCACAGAGGAATTGTCTCCAAATTCCTGGTTTTCTCCTCGAGAACTACCCTGGAGCTGCTGTGGGGTGACAGAGGCCTGCCGTGCTATGTCAGGCCCGCGGAGGTGAGGGGGCCCCAGAGGCCTGCCCTGCCAGTCTCACTCCTGGTGCATGGCCCCTCCTGGGAGGACTAAGGCCCGCCCCTAGGAAACATCCAGTCTTCCCAAAACTTCATTCTCCCCTATCAAATTACCTCTCTCTGGGTAATTATTGTATTTTACACTTGAAGACACTAGGTTTTAAGATGCTGTAACGCTCGAGTATTTACTACTACTAGTTTTGCTGCTATTTTCTATTTAGAAGTTTTACTAAATTGAAAGGACTTCAAAAATATCACTTGCCATTCAATCCAAGGTTAAGAATGGCAAATTTGTTGCTAAATTAGATGACATAAGGTACCTACATACCCTCCTTAACATTTTCCTAAGCTAGTTCTTAGGACCTTAGCTTAACTTAGAATTTAGTTACCTTCTTAAATGTGAACTTATGACCAAAAATGAGAAGACAAAAGAAACAGATTTAAATAAAATCCATGTTGAGAAAATATGAAGAGAGATGGGTTCTACGGGCTAAGAGATCTAAAGCCTATACTTAGTATCATTCTGTGCATTCAGTAATCAACAAATTTCCCAAGACAGACAAATGATGCAATCAACTGCAGACCAGGGCCAAGGCGAGGCCACAGCCAAGCAGTTGTAAATTTGAGAGGCCTCCTTACTTGTCTAGCAGCGAAGTTTTGGGGGTTGAGCCCTGTGCCGATTGCTCCAAGGCTGACGTTGGGTAGTGTGGAACCAGAGGGAGACAGCTTGTAGCTGGGAGAAGGGGAGAAGGGAGAGCAGGGAGCCTCATCCCCAAGGCACCCATCTTGATTGGAGAAAGGCAAAGTCAGCTGAAAAGTAGTAGGAGTTAGCCAATCACAATGAGTGTTGGTTAGTGAAGCAACAGAATGCAAGAAGGGACAAGAGAGAAACACTAGGAACAAACAGAATTAGAGTGTATTAGCAATAAACGAGGATGGAATTTGGATCTGATAAGAGTCATCACACTTGGCCCAAGAGACACCATCTGTCATCTCAGATACGGATTTTTTCTTATCCTGTAAGTCAGTAACACATTCTGTCCATTGCACTAGGATAAAAATTGCCAGACACTTTATTTTTATGCATCTAATATTGATTACTCTATGTGGCTGCTGAAAGAGAAGCCAGAATAAGCTTCTTGGGAATCTGTTGCTGCCTGGAACAGCATCATCAATAGTGTCAAAAATGTGCCAGATCTAAAACTTTTGGTTTTAATTGCTTTCTGAAGATCCAGGGCTATGGCAAATCAGTATTCTGAATCAAGGAATTATTTCCTCCACCAGGAATGATAAAAATAAAAAGAACTAGGTATAAACAACTTCTTTAAATCAGGTAGTTGAGAATTTGGACAGTACACCACTGTAACTAAAAATAGGTCACTAGGGGAATGGAGAAAGAACAAAGGAACTCTCTTAGAAATAACAAAAGAGAAAGTTCTGGGCCAGCTTGACTAAGCTAGAAGGCAAGGCCTGGGGAGATCCGGATTATTTGCACAAGATCCCAAATTTAATTTCTCATTGTATAGCAGCAGAAAAAAGAATTCAGAATAAATTTGTCTCTAAAATTTCTTCTACATGTTTCGAGTGTGCATTTCCCCTACTGTAAAAAGTCAGACCATTCATTTCCCCCTTCCAAACTTCATAAAATTTCTAAACACTCAGACCTTGTTCACAATACTCACATACTAAAGACAGATGGTTCTAGCTTCTGCCTAATCACCTATTGACATCAACTGTTTTTACATCACCACTTACATGCAGGTGATGTTTGCGTTTTGCTCATTAATTAATTCAGTAATTCTATGCTTCCTCCTGGAACTGATTACCAAAAGAACAAATGGGAACCAAAGTGGTTCGCATCAATTATGGTCTTAAACAAAGGATTCGACTCACCTTCTCGAAATAAGGCCCACTATCTGTGGTTCCCATGTCTTTGGAATTAGGTGGACGGAACCCAGATCGATCCTTCCTCATGATATCATTAAAATCCCCGAGATTCATCGCTCGCTTGTCCACGTCAAATTTTTTATCTGGAAGGCTCCCTGAAAAGGAGCACAGAAGAAGTGAAAATTTCAAGAACCAATGTCTCCCTCATGACGAGGAGTTCTAGCCCTACTCTCTTCCCTGAGGTGTTGGGTGTAGACCACAAGGGATCTCGTTGGTTCAGGCTGCTGGGGACCCTCCCTGGAGCACATGTGGGTCCTTTTGTTCCTTTTTAAAAAACTCCTATCAGTTGTAGCTTGTTTTCAATGGAAGACTGAAAGAGAGACTTAGGGCCAACCTGGTAAAAATCTGACTAAAAAAATATTTCCACTGGTTATTGATATGTTTGATGAATATCACTTGCTCATAAACTCAAATGTGCTCAGGGAGAAAATCTGTCTCTTGCCCTTTTAGCATCTGCTAGATAAATGGGTGGGGCTATGAAACAGTTATTGGGGATAAAAAGGCCTCGTGATTTCCCAGGTACCATGGTTATTCCTCCTTTTCTTCACAGCTCTGGAAATTTGCTGTTATACACTGACATGATCAGTGCCCCTGGAAGCTTACTTTTTTGTTATTCTTAGATTTTAAAATATCATAGATCAAAGGCTATTTCCCTTATGACCCAGGACTGTTTTCCTTTCTTCCTGGTTTGATTCTTTTTAAGTTCCTCAAGGTGAGCAACGGTGTCACGGGGATGACCCCACAGACCAAGGGCTGACATGGCGTCTGCCCCACCTGCAGTGGGGGTGCTCGTCAATAATGCAACACCCCAGCGCAGACGGGACTAGCAACCTGAGGGCAGAGGATGGCAGGGCCACAGACACACTGGGTTCGGCCACACACCACAGTTTTTAACAATCTGAATTAGGTTCCAATATTTAAATATCAGGCTCTCAATGTATGTCTAAATTTCTGGCCCTGCTTGAAAACTGGAAGCTCTGACAAGGCTGAACCTTTACTCTCCAGGGCAACAACCGCTAAGGGCCAAGCAAGGCTGAGTCCTTTATCCTTTACGTGGTACACAGGCCGCCCACAGCTAACCAGTGGCCTCCAACTCCCACCTGCTTACACCTGGCACACCATTCATTTACGTGACTTTCCTGGATCCTGCAGCTGTTTGGAGTTTTCAACCCTTACCTAGCGTCTAGGATGGTCCTTCATGTCTGCTGAGCAGCACCCATCCCAACTCAAACTGAGCAGGGACCCAACATGGCATCATTAACAACAACATACTCCATTCATATTAGTGGAGTGATACACACCTACAGACAAATCCATTTTGCTGCCTGGATTATCTTCAGTTTGACTCTGAAAAAGCAGCAACAGGGAGGGAGGATTAAAGGTTTGAATTCAAAGTCTGGATCAGAGAAAAAAAATGGCATTATTTACATGAGAGCTCTGGCGTCCTACAGGCACTATACAAGATTCTTCCGACGTGAACCTTACACTGGGATGAAGACAAGATCACTTAGGATACGACTAATTTGATTGCTGTTGGGTGTCTATATTCCTAAATTCAATTTTCACACAGAAGTAGCTTCAGTAATTCTATGGACAGGGCAATAGTTAAGTAGCTGCTTAGAGAAATAAAACCCTGCTCAAGTTCCAGTCGGCTCAGGATCAAATTCCACGAGTGTCAGCCAAATGATGACAACTTCTTCTCGTGACTTGTCAAGTCATCAAATCTGGTAATGAGCAGCCAAGTCAAGCTATTTGTCTTTTGGCAACCAGGGACGGGGTGTCCCCACGATGTTCCCAAGAGAGAAGGAAAAAAAAAAGAGGAATCCTACAAGAATTCCTTATATAATTAATTACAAATACTTTCTCTAGTTATTTTGCTCTTGCTGCCGTTTTCAAAACTGTAAGATTAACACTGGTACAGCAGTAGTCAGGGAAAATTATGTAAGTTTTAAGGCCTGGCTCTTTCTTCCTCTAAGCGCCTAAGGAAAAGGATACAAGGACTACAAATTCAAAAGCCGTAAGCTTTAAATATTGGAGTATTTAATTAAGAATAAGTGAATAGAGGATAAATACTGCTTACTCCAAATCAGAAACATTGCTTAACCAGTTTCTAACTCTGTAATGTTGTATTCTATGTGGCAGCGGTCTTAGCATTTGTACTAAAAGTAAAAGCTGGGCTGTATTACACTTGTAAGAAAATGAAACTTACCAGCAATCCCATATTTGAAAACTGTTTGGCAAGAGGATTCATCCATGAATCATTGTTTCCTCCTTTCAGTGAGCACTACAGAAATGAAATATGTAACCTCAGAACCAAATTATTTTCTCTCACTTCATATCTGAGTTGCATTTAAGTACTGATTGAAAATGCAGAACCAACAGTTTACCTTTTTTAACCCACATTTCCCTCTTTAACTATGGTTATTTTGATATTTTATCCGTTAGTCTGAAAGATTAATAAGCTTTAGATCTGTGTTTTCATTCTTATTCTATTCGTCACACTGAATTAGAAGTAACTGGAAAAACATTGGTCAGCTGGGCTGTTTTTTTTTTTAAGATTTTATTTATTTATTTGAGAGAGAGAGAGAGAGAGAGAGCACAAGCAGGGGGAATGGCAGAGGGAAAGGGAGAAGCAGACTCCACACTGAGCAGGGAGTCCAGTGCGGGACTCAATCCCTGGACCCCAGGATCATGACCTGAGCTGAAGGAAGACGCTTAACCGACTGAGCCACCCAGGCACCCAGGTCAGCTGGTGTTTTTACCTTATAAACAGAAGGAAATATCAGATCTTCTAAAATACAATGTTTGCATGCTAGTACTTTTCCTTTTACTATCTCCTTGTAACCCGGTTTGTATTAGAAGAAAAGAAAGAGTTCAATGCTAGTGCCTGTTTGGAAAATAAATAGGCACTAGCCTGTTAAAACAGACTATTTAAGCTGGTCATTAGTCTCTGTGTGGATACAATGAGGACTCATCCACGCACCCTTCATCTGCTTGTTTCACAGTATAAACAACAGGGGTCCCCGTGGGAAAAAGGCCCTAACAGAACACATCTCTGATCCTACTGCAAAGGCAGGCAGGCGCTGAGTTTTTCTTTTTTTTTTTAAGATTTTATTTATTTATTTATTTGAGATAGAGCGAGCATGAGCAAGAACGGGGCAGGGGGAGAGGGAGAAGCAGGCTTTCCGCTGAGTGGAGAGCCCGATGCGGGGCTTGATCCCAGAACCCTGGGATCATGACCTGAGGTGAAGGCAGACGCCTAACCAACTGAGCCACCCAGGCGCCACTGAATTTTTGTTTCTTAAAGGACCTAGTTTCTTCCTGAAACATGACACCCAACATCAGCTCCCCTTTTACTTCTACGGAGAAGGCAGGTAGAACTGTGATGAGGCCTTGGTGGGGACGGGGTGATGGGGCTTTGTGCACTTGTACATTCTACAAATAAAAACTCTGTGTTTTGATGATATTTGTTATGTCAATTTTATTATTCTTTTTTTTTTTTTTTAAAGATTCTATTTATTTATTTGAGAGAGAGAATGAGAGACAGCACAAGAGGGAAGAGGGTCAGAGGGAGAAGCAGACCCCCAGCCGAGCAGGGAGCCCAATGTGGGACTCGATCCCGGGACTCCAGGATCACGACCCGAGCCGAAGGCAGTCGCTTAACCAACTGAGCCACCCAGGCGCCCCAATTTTATTATTCTTGAAAGTGAGTAAGTTCACTAACGTTAAAGGTTTTAAGGTCAAGAAAGCCCTCAATGGAGGGATGGGAGAATTGGTAGTTTTTGTTTAACGCAAACAGTTTCAGTTTTGCAGATGAAAAGAGTTTTGTGGCGAGATGTGGTGATGGCTGAATAACAGCGTGAATGTACTCAATGCTACTGAGCTGTCTGTGCACCTAAAAATGGCTAAAGTGGTAAATCTTACGTTATCTGCCTTTGATCACAATCAGTAAAAAGAAGGCCCTGGATACAAAAGGTCAGAATTGTCAGTCATGGGGCAGAAACACTGAATTCCCACTGAGCTGGATCAATTACATCTTGGGGCCACCCGAGTGGACCAGCACCTTTCCCTCGCTCGATTCCCGTCAATCAGCAGTCTCCCTCGACTGTCTTTTCATTCCGTCTCACTGGGAATTTGTAAATGACAAAAACAAAGCCACAGCAAGCCAGACAACATGAGAGTACAAAGATGCTGAGAAATTTACTGAATAATTACTTCTGTGACTAGGGGGAGGAAACAGAAGTCCTTAGAAGGGAAACTGTAACTGGCTGCTTAAACAGGATGCCTCCAAAAGGAACTACCTGTGTTCTTAGGCTACTGAGTTACCGTATTCAGCACAAAATGAATATCCTACAGCAAAGGGGATGAAGGTACAGCCCCCTTAGCCAACTGAAGACCTTCCAGGAGGGTACTTGGTATTGGAAACCAGGACAATATTCACTGTGAAATGTTTCACAGGGCAGCAAGTCTCCCATGTTGAAATTAAATATATGACTGCCCATTCTTTATTTCCATCAATTTATCTGCAGAAGGGAAAGAACGCCTCTGCTGAGAGAGTGGTTCAGGTTCAAAGACTTGTGCTAGATTGAAACCAAAGTTCTCATCAAATTACGCAGATCAAAGTGGAAACTGAGTTGCTCTAAGACAAGGAAAGTGACAATTTTATTTATTTTATTTATTTATTTTTAAATTAAGAAGGCTCCATGACCAGTGTGGAGCCCAGTGTGGGGCTTAAACTCACAACCCTGAGATCAAGACCTATGCTGAGATCAAGGGTTGGATGCTTAACCAACTGAACCACTCAGGCGCTTCAGAAAGCAACAACTTTAGAACACAACCCGGTATGGGATGTAGATAAATCAGCCGGTTGCTACAGCAAGGTTACGCACTGGCACTTCACTTTGTTGGGAGAATGGTTCTGGGTTTTGGAATTTCCTTAATCGGATAAAAACCAGTCATGCTGATCACCACTGGAGAAGCTATCTTTCTTTGGTTTCTCTTCTATATATCATGGGGACTTACCCTAAGGACTTCCTTGGCTTTAGAATGCAAAAGCATAAAACATTTATAAAGTGTGCCTTGAAAACTTCCAAAGAGTTATTATCATATGGAAACTAAAAGTGGAAAAAAATCTCCTGTCTTTGAAAATTCCACTTTGCTCACAGCAACAGCTCTGTAGTTCGAGGTTTCAAGGTCATGGGGAAGGAAGATGAGGAGTAAAGAGGAAGTAATTATTTGCTCTTGAGAAAGTATTTTCCCCCTTATTTAGGACCTCAGGGACTCCTTCCATTAGAAAATTCTCAGTTCTGCCTTCTAAGAATGAAGAAACAAGCTCAAACATTTCTAAAGTGGGCTACCTTCATTTGCTTCTTTCCTCCTTGTCCCCAGCTTGCTGAGTTGTGGGAGGAAGCACTTCCCTGAGAGCCGGCGGTGTTCCAGACTCCTCCATCATCCTCCTCTTCCCAGCTGGGATGGCGAGTTCCCGTCACTGGACCATCACTCTCCCCCCAGCCATCTTGCATAGATTTGGAATCTTTAAGAAAAGAATGGATCAACCCTATGTAATAGCTGTATATGACAATACCCACAATGATCAGTCCTTATGAATGCAGCATTTTAGGGTATTTGGCATCTTATCTAATCCATCTATATGGTGAGGCAAACATTCTAGCCCCTTCCACATTCGTATTACCCAGACAAAGGGAAGGTGTAAGTACAGCTTTAACTATAGATATAGAAGATCCTGAAGAAGAGAAGACATTTTTTAAACTGTGAAGGTTTTGTGATGGAAGAAGGGTGATTCTAAGGTTGGGAAAGACACGGAAAAATCCTGACAGTACTGCTGAAGTATCTCCTTGTGCCAAAGGTCTGGTTAATGTCTTCCAACAGCCATTTTGGATCTATTTCAAGTTTACAGCGTGGTATTTCCCATGATGATACAACCAATTTTACAGTGAAAATCATGATGAAATCATGGTCTTTATAAAGCTATTTCTCTGAAGTGAAGTAGATTCATAATTTTTAAAATGCAAGTTACAGACACAAGAATGAATTTCTAGGATATAGCTAAGACTGTACTTCATGGGGCGCTGTAAGAGTCATAAATGTCATACAATAAAATTGACAACAGAATTTATTATTCTTGTTCAAATTTTGAGCATACAGTATGACCACATTTTTAAATCAAAAGATAATTCCTTAAGTCTGCAGTATGGCAGAAAAGAGATGTTGGAATACTTTTTAAGAAAACGACAAACAAGTGAAACTTGAAACTGAATTTTTCAACTGAGGAACATCCAATGAGACATTCCATAGCATCGGTTTACAAAGTTTTGCAAATTACTGTGACTAAACATTGCCAGTTGGATCAAGGATAGCTTAGACTTTCAATGATTATGAATAAGTGTGACATGCTTTGTATAAAACACTCAAACGAAGAAATCTTTGTTGGGTTCAAGAAACCTTATGTGTTCCTATGTGGGTGGAAGTATGAGAGGAGAGACAAAGGGACGAGGAAGAAACAGAAGGATAAAGTCACTGAGTAGTAGAGACTGTGTTCCACAGTAAAAGCCAGGAAAGTCTTTTTAAAAACTATACTAACAAAGGGGCAGAAATGCAAAAGAGAGATGGTGAGCAATATTTAAATCACTGGCAAAAAAAGCACCATGTCAACATTTCAATTCTGGCCAGATACTAAACCGAACATAAAAGAAAATCAACAAAATTAACTTCTGACTTCTAGACTGTAAACATGTTAACATATGCACAGCTAAGTCACTGCCATTTGGTACTGATCATTTATCAAAGGTTCACGGTCCTCAGTCTCACTGAAACAACAGTTTAAACATTAGAACACCCCACCAAAATGTCTGGCCCCCAAATTAATGGAGACTCCCTCACAAATAATGCTGTACACTTACTAGGTTTCATGGCATTTGGAGCATTGGAGGGTGCGTTCCCCCAGCCTGTGGTCGATGCTCCTGTGTCATCCATTTCACCCCACCCAGGACTGCTTTCGTTTGGCTCACCCCAAGCTGAAGTACCATTATCTGGAGCAGGTGGTGTGCTTTTGCTCCAGACTGCAAAGAAAGAAAACGGCTCTCTAAGAATGATCTGTTAAAGGAAACATCCTAACATCCAGGGAGCGGATATGGGGTGGGGGTGAAGGTAGGAGGAAGAGGCACTCCTCTATTCTGTTGCCATAAATACGAATGGGTTCCACCCTCATGGAGGCAAATGGCATTGTCACTTTAACTTTTGGCCCAGCAATTCCACTACCAGGGAATTATGCCATAGATATACTTGTAAAGTACATAAAATTACATGTACAACAATGCTCACTGTATCACTGTTGGAGGCCATTTGGAAGCGACCTAAATATCTATCAAAAAGGGACTGGTTAGGCCAGTTGTGTCACCCATGAAATAAATACTGTACACAAAGCAAATAAAAGACAAAAATGTATGTGCTAACATGGAAAGTTTTAAAGTATGATGAAAAAAGCAAGGTGAAGAACAGTGTATATAGTACAATCCCTTCTGTGTAAAAGCTGTAAAGGATATATTTAGCTATAGGTATGAACAAAATTTTTGAATGAGACACAAAACTCTAAGGGGTTACCTGTGGGAAGAGACCCTAGGGGCTAAGATTCTTTTATTTATTATATTTTGCTTTTCTGTACAGTTTGAGGGTTTTTACTATATGGGTAATAATTTTTTTTCACATGTTAGCAGGTTTTATGCTGGACAGGGAATTAATGAGCAATCTTTATTTCCTTCTTCATTCTTTTCAATATTTGAGGGGAAAAAAAAAGAACCAGTTAAAAGCAATCATTTTCTAAGTGGCCATAACTGCATTCACTCAACAGTATGCTTACTTGAGGAGTGGAAAACTAAATATTAATTCTACCTTAAAAACAAAAGCAAAAACTCCACCTGAACAGGGCATCCCCTTAATTTGTTGAATTATATGCTTTATGGGGACATTCAAGTTGACGATGCCAAAGATGGTATTACTAGCACTACTTTTAATTTACCAGGTATGGGGTTTCTATTCAAATAGAGCAAGAAGAAAGTTTAATTCTGGGCAACTGATTATCATGAGAGAACAATTTCTTACATGAAGTACTCCACTTCCAGAGGTGATCATTAAAAGTCATCTGGAAAGTGACTGAGACCCTCCAGATCCCAGCTGTGCCACAGCATTGCCATGGCCCCTTCGAGAACACCACAGAATACTTCCCTTCGCTGGGGAAGGAGAAACACAGAGGATATGTCCACGGGTAGAGACTGAATGGAAATCAGGTCTATTTCTGCTACTATTTTAATTCTTCATTTTTAAATCTGGAGCATAGTTTGTTTAGCAAGACATGTTCTTTGGATTCTACAAGACCAATACAATTACAAAAAAAACCCCCAAAAAACCACAAGCTTCGGGAGACTACCACAGGGATGCCATCTTATTCCTTTTGCCAAGAAAGAACATTAAAATGTACCACCAGCATCTGTTATCGCTATCATTTTATAAAAAGAGAGCTTCTGTTAACAGTAGAGTAGGTTAATGTACAAAGATTTCCAGAACAAAGCCAAGTTGAATAAATGCAGCTTAATAAAAATGCCCTGGTTTAGGATTTTTCTTTATCAAACCCACAAGAAGCAGCCATTGCCTACCTGATGCTGATTTACTGGTCATGGGGGTAGGCAGGTTTGGTTCTCGAGGTGCTGGGCCCCCTTGGGAATTCTTATCCCACAGATTCACATTCTTGTAGTTGTAACTGTTGGGGTCTCCCCACGCCGAAGTGCCATCATCGATGTCCATTTTCCGACTAATTGACTGTGGGGATGGCTCTTCCCAACCGCTGGGTTCCTCATCCTTAGGGGTTACTGGCTGTGGCCCGCTGCTCCAGTTGGAATTGGAAGGTCGTCCGTTGCCTGGAGGTGGTGGGGGTGGGCCTCCCCAGGAACCAGAAGCCTCTGGTTGTGGTGGCGGTGGCTGCTGTGGCTGCTGCTGTTGGTGCTGTTTATTCCAGGAACTGGGCTGTCTGCCGGTCTCAGTCCACGCTGGAGACCTTTTGCAATCTTCCCACCCGCCTTTGGAAGCTAGGCTTGCATTCCCACTGTTCCCCCAAGTTCCAATTTCATTCTGCCCTCCTTCACCCCACCCAGACACAGGTTTACTTGCAGAACTTTCCCAACTGCTGTTTTTCGCTTGATCAACTTCCTCTCCCCAACCATTCTTCCCAGAAGTCCATCCTTGATTGGGCTGGCGTCCCCCTCCCCACCCCTGATCCTTGCTGGAGTTCTCATTCCAAGAGGAAGAAGTCTTTTCATCTGGTCGTGCGCCTCCCCAGTTGGAAGAGTTGTTCTTGTAGTCATTCCAGCCTCCTGTGTTCTTGGGGTCTTTCCACTCTGTAGAGGCTGAGAGCTCCCCCCATCCAGACTTCATTTGATTGCTTTGGCTGGGTGCGTCTCCCCAGCCCCCTGAGTTCTTGGTCTGTGTGGCAGCGCTCTCCCACCCCTCAGTTCCTTTGTCAGATTTCCCCTCAGGCCTTGGCACCTCTTCAATATCCCACACTGTGTCCTGCTTAATTTGAGTTTGGCCCCAGCCAGTGTTTGAGAGCACCCTGGGGTCCAAATCAGTTCGGCTCAAAAGAGTCTGTAAGACAGCCTGACAATCAGGATGTGTGGGCCGGTATGACCGACGGCCAGAATTATGACTGTCACTACTTCCTGCTTTGTGGTTGCTTCCAGTGCTTTGACCTCCAACTTCACTTCCTGTGGAGCTGGAAGATCTTCCCCAACAGGGAGCCTGGGCATTGCCTTGGTTTTCAGGGAGGGGGTGGCCCTTTTGATTGTCCCATGCTCCAGTGCTAGAATTTGGTTGGTTTGGACCACTCCATTCTCCAATTTTCAACTCATCAGACCCAGTCGGCTGTTTCCATTCTCCCTGAGAGACCCCAGATGTCATTTTGTTCCCTTCACCCCATTTGTTGTCATTAGAGTCCTGAGGGCCAAAATTCCAGGACCCACCCGTAGACCTGTTATTGTCCCAAGAGTCATTTTTTGACCCAGATGATTTCTGAACAGAAGCTCCTTTCCAGGAGTCCTCTCTATCCTTTCCATTGTTCCCATTGTTTCCAGAATTGCTTTGTCCAGAGGCTGTGTCAGTTCCAGAAGGCCCCCTAGCTGCACCCCAAGATCCAACACTCCCAGTCTTTCGATCTCCAGTGCTTTGTGAAGGGGCATCAGTGCTCCTGGAGGCGTTCCCCAAGCCCATTCCAAAGGGCATTCCCTTATTCTCCATGGGGTTTGGTGAACTTAAGTTCAAGGAGTTAGTGTTTCCATTTTTTGGTCCATCAGTGTTATGAATTTGAGCCTGTTCTCTGCCAGAGACAACAAAATTAACACCCGCATTTTCCATCTTTGACTGCTGTTCCCTGGATGCCTGACCTACTGTGCTAACCTGTGCACTGGAATTACTAGTATCCGTTTCCAGTGCCCCTTTCCTAGAATTTCCTTCTTGGACCAGCGCTGGCCAGGCAGATGGGTTGCTATTTGGGTTAAAGTTGCTGAAGCCAGAGCCAGGTCCAATTCTATCCTGACCACTCACATTCCTCCAATTTCCTAGTCCATTGTTGCTCTCTGTAGTAGAGTTGGAAGATTGAACAGGTTTAGTCTTAGGGTCAGATTTCCAGACCCCAAGATTACATTCGTTCCCAGAACTTGCAGACTGGCACTGGCTCCCTTTTCCTTTGTTACTAGTGGTGCTTCCTGGCAGAGTGCTCTTCTCAGAGCCAGGGTTCGAGGCACTGTTGCTGTCGGTGGTGCTTTCGGAAGAAGACTCAGTGTCTCTGCTGGCAATACAAGGCCACTCTTCCATGTCAGACCCGTCTACAATCACCTTGTCCCGGATGTGAACTGGGTTGGGGGAGGCTCCCGGGCCCCAAGCGGAACTTGCATAATTTGCAGCAGCAGCACCTCCAAGGGTTGACTCTGGGAAAGAGATGATCTGATCAATCACAGCTACACATGCACGCTCTCCCGACACCTCAAGCTCAAACTGCCCCTAAGAGAGCTCGTCGCGTCTCCCCACAAACTAGTTTCTCTACCCAGTTGCCCTTCTTGGCTAACTGTGCCACACCTGCTCTAGTCATCGCTTCTCTTTCATTCCGCTGGGGTGGCGTACTGCTAAGTGTAAGTCCACGACACTTCTCAAAGCTGTCCGCTTGTCATTCCTATCGACAGAGAAGGGCCTTCTTATGTCTCAAGACAATGCAGTAACATGCTGAACCTGCTTTCTATTTCCAATATACTCTAAACATTCCTGGCTAGAGTAATTGTTCTGAAGCACCCCTTCAGTTAGACCACCGGTGTATGGGAAGTTTCCAACAGTTTCTTCGTGCACAAGGACAAAGCTAAACTCTTTGGCCTGGAGTTTGATCAAGATGCTGCACAACCTGGGACCAACTGACTTTTCTAGTCTTATCTTGCACTACTTTCTACGTGGATGCCACACTCCTCGATAGTCCATGACTTGTGCCTTCTCGCCCTGGCACTATTCCACACTGGCAGCAACTGGCTTCCCTTCCTGGATTCATATACTGAAATTGGTCCATCTTTCTGGGCCTAGTTCAAGTGCCGTTTCTTCTATGAGGGTTTTTGGTTCTGTCTTGTTTTTGTTTTTTTAGTTCATCACCTGAAAATAACCCTTTCCTGTCTGGAGCCATTTTGCTCAGTGCTGTGGTACTGTGTTCACATCTACCTTCCCCCACATTAGCACCGGAGACTCCCCCACAAGCTCCCCCTCTTAGGCAGAGACCCTATCTTGCTAATGTTTGAATTCCTCATAGTGGCCAGTGCGTGGCTGCTCAGTAAGCATCTGATGAATGATGAATGCCCACCCAGCTAGATGCTGGGGCAGACGAGCATGAATCAGTCTGTATGCCCAAGGAACTCAGTCTTATAAATTAGTCTGGCTCAGCACATATTTTGGTGGAATTTGTCATATTTAGTGGGAAGAAAAATGACATGTTTTAACCCAGTAATTTCTTCTGAACTTGTTTTAGTTATTCTAACCAAGCAGCTTTAAATCACTATAAGGTTGAAAAAATATTACATAGAGCCATGTTAATAGGAAAGCAGAGAATCTCCAGCTCTTGAGATTTAGGGGTCTCCTTGGTTTTAAGAATGCAAATGAGAAAGTACTCAGACTGGACTCATGTCTACAACCAGGCTGGCTAGATTTGGCTGCAGAAACACCCGATGTGACCACCCCTCACATACTTCCTTTTGCAACTGCTTATGAGGGGCCCCAAGAAGGAAGGGCCATGAGGCTTTTTCCTGCCTGCTTTGGGCCTGACCTGACGGCCACCACAGAAAAGTCTGCATAAAGCTTGTGTAACCGTGAGGTTTCTTTCCTTCTTTACTCTGCACAAGAGACAGTGATAGAATTTTCTAAGGCAATTCTATGTTCAAACTCAGAACTAGAATAAAGCATGCTCAGTTAACAATAACCAATTCATTGTTCTTGCCAAGGCTTGATGATGTTCAAGCTCTGAATTTTAGTATAGCCTCAAAAAACATTTTAAGAGCTAAGGGGAAATCTGTTAAAAGCTTTAAAAAAAGGGGGGGGGGAGGGGATGTTTGGAGGTTCTTAGCTGTTAGCTGATTTAGTATTCATCTTTAAAAACTCTCAAAACTCGTAGAGCCTTTCTGCTGAAGATTCCTTATATCTACATCCAGTTTTGTTTTGTTTTATTTTTTTAAGTAGGCTCTATACCCAATGTGGGGCTCAAACTTACGACGCCAAGATCAAGAGCTGTATACTCTGCTGACTAAGCCAGCCGGGTGCCCCTACATACAGTTTTTAACAAAGCTCAAAATCCTCTGAAGAAACAATGATTTTAAAAATCTGGTAAGAAACTATAGAATGATATTATTTGATATCCCCCCTCCGACCAAGATTCTACACAGTAATCTAAGAGACGGCTGTCTCTAGACCCGCAGCGTTCTGAGAGCATAAACACAGGCAGGTAAGATTCGGAACAAGCCTGCGCACTAGTCTCACCTCCAACTGCAGCCGAAGCACACGCTGGTGCTGACGGCTGGACCCAGGGAGGCTCGAGGTTATAATGTGCTTGTCTGAGAAGGAGAAAAGGTCCCAAACGGCGATGACCAACAGCAGCCGCATTAGCCTCTCATGCCAAGAGCACATGCTGGATGCTAGCACCCAGTTCCAGAAGAGAGGTGCTGGTACGCGTTTCCTACCGGGATCCTCGCCCTGTCTTCTGAGTGACCCCGAGAGTCTAGCTAATGAAGGGTTTGGTGGCCTCTATACCGGGCAACACAGAAGAAGCGCCCGCTCTCTTCCAAGCTGCCGCGGAATCCACTCCCGACACGGATTCCTCACCTGGTGCAGTCCCACCGTCCCCCTGCAGCAGCGTTCCTGTCACTTGTGCGTTGTTTGAGTTTGCTCCAGGTGCTGTGGAGGGAGGAGGCCCTGCCCCACCCCCGAGGAGCATGCAGGACGGCGGAGGGGGCTGCCCACGTTTTAGTAACACTTTGTGGTCCTGCTGGCAACGGAATCGCGGCGGCACCTCCCGAGGCATGTAGCGGGCGGCGCTTGGCGGTTGTCCGTTCGGCACTGCCACCCTTTTGGCATTGTTGCCACCATTGACTGGTGGCGATGGAGAGCTGCCAATTGGGCTGGCGGCCGTTGGTTGGCTTAAACTTGGTTTCGTCACTTCGGGCACTGAAAGAGAGAGATTGGGAAACAGCCTTTGAAATCAAATACATTTTTCTAAAAGTTGTTTTTAAGAAAGCTTACATGAGACCACTTCCCGTAAGACAACTCTTCTTCCACCCTACTGTGGATGGACGTGGTCCTTCTAAGCTCCCCTGTATCTTCAGTTTCCTAGAGGTATGGCAGAGGTGCGGAGTGATGGTGACGAGGGCTCAAAGACAGCCAGACCACAGAATTCCATTCCATTGATTAAGGGGGAGGGGAAGCAATCACCATCAACTCCCCTATATCCCTGAAGGGCTGTCCAGCAAGTCTGAGGGTACATATGGGCCCCAGGCAAAGCCCTTGGTAAAGAAAGGTTCAAGGCTCTCAACCGGAATGCCCTTGCCCTTTATCCACCTTCTTAAAGACCTACCTCGGAGAAACTTTTCTTGAAGTCCCTGGACTAGGTAGGCAAAGCACCTTCGTTTGTGCTCCTGGAACACACTGTCCATCTTTCTTTACCATGAATTGATCATATTATATTGAAATTCTCATTTACAAGCTCCTCACCCAAGAGTCCCTCAAGGGTAAGGACCCACCTTTCTTTCATCTTTTTTTCTTAGGGCCTGGCACAGAGTAGACCCCCATAGGAAACCTCAGCCCTGGAGAATTACAAAATCAACTAGGTTTTGGTTTTTACAGCTACCTGAACTCAAACACTCTTGCTTCGCACTCTGTGTAAATAATTAGAAACATTATGAACTCTTTTGCTCATGTCAAAAAAATTTTAAGGGTACCTTGTGTATTTATTCCAACTCTTTATTTAAAATAAAAATTTCAGGGGCACCTGGGTGGCTTAGTTGGTTTAGCATCCGACTCTTGATTTCAGCTCAGCTCATGATCTCAGGGTTGTGAGATCAAGTCCCGCACTGGGCATGGAGACTAAGATTAAGATTACTTTCTCTCTCTCTCTCTCTCTCTCTCTCTCTCTCTCTCTCTCTCCCTCTGCTCCTCCTTTCTCTCTCTCCTGCTCTAATAAAGAAAAAAAAAGTAAAATGAAATAAAAATTTCAAATAAAACTAAATAAAAATTTCAAAATGTAGGTATTTTTCCTACTCATTTTAAAGAATTTAATGTTTTACTTTTAAAAATGGCAAATAGGAAGTCTGGAACGTGCCGGATGACCGTAAAGATATACTCTCCAGGACCCTTTGGTTTTCCCCTCAACCCTATAGAGAATGTTCTTCTGCACCTCCTTTGCTTCATCCTACCAAAAGACTGCCACCCTTTCTAAGAAAATCTACCTGGCAAATAGAGGCTGGCAATGTTACAGAAACAACCGTTGAGCCTGATAATTCAGATGATTCTGAGGCCCAAATCCCTGACATCCAGAGGAATGTTTGGGCCAGCTCTGGTGGCAGTACTGCTCTGACTGCTGAAATGATGCTAGGCCAGCATGTTGCTCGTTGAACTGGCTCCTTTATGGAGAGAGAGACATCATCAGAAATCAGGGGGCCCAATCTACTCCCACTGGACATTGATGAGCATTGTGAATAACAAGAACAAAGAGTAGGAGCCTGAAGTCACTTCAAGGCAACCCCTGGTCTAATCTTAGCCAATCATGAGGCAGTCTTGCGTCTCCCAGTAAGGAAGGGAAGTCAGAGGATCCACAACCTCTGAGTAGGATAAACCTATCTCTTGAGAAAATAAGTTGGTCATTGTCTGATATTATCAGTATATAGGCTCTGCATGACCTATAACAGCCGATAGATAAAAATAACTGATAAATGAAGATGAATTATTCAGTGATTCATTTTTTATCTGTGCCCGTAAGATTCCCATAGCAGATGGCATTCCCAATCCCCTTTCCTCTTATTATGAGAATAAACAAGAAGCTGGCAAGGGCTGGGAGGAGTCTTCCCAACTGGTTTTTAGGATGGAGGGAGCTATGCTTCTGTGAGGCTGCCTTGACTCATTTCCCTAAAATAGAGTAAGACATAGTACAAGCATCCTACAGCACTGAGGTCTGAACATCAGTTCTACTAACAGAGGAGAGGGGCATTAAGATAGAGTAGGAATTACTTTTACCCTCTCATTTCTATTCTGCACCTTAATGATTTGTAGGGCAAATCTTTCTAAAAATGAGCTGCTCAAAATGAAGGCATACTTCCTTATTTTCCATAGAAAAGGTCTGTGGCTTAAACATGACCTCTGTATCAAAGGAAAATACAGACATTGTGAAAAATGCTGGGTATCCTATTTTCTGATTTCCTTTCATTGACTTCCAAGAACTAATGACTGAATCTTTTTCCTTTCCCTCTCAGCGTTATTCTCATCTTATAGTTTGAACTTCTAAATTACCTCTATTTCTGAAAATCTTCAATAAAATGTTACTTTTGCAGAATGTAAGTATTTTTTTTTTTTTAGAAATATTTATTTATTGGGGCGCCTGGGTGGCTCAGTCATTAAGCGTCTGCCTTCGGATCAGGTCATGATCCTGGGGTCCTGGGATTGAGCCCCGCATCGGGCTCCCCGCTCCACGGGAAGCCAGCTTCTCCTTCTCCCACTCCCCCTGCTTGTGTTCCCTCTCTCGCTGTGTCTCTGTCAAATAAATAAATGAAATCTTAAAAAAAAAAAGAAAGAAACATTTATTTATTTGTGAGAGAGAGAGAGAGAGCATGCACGAGCTGGGGGGGAGGGGCAGAGGGAGAAGCAGGCTCCCCGCTGAGCAGGGAGCCTGACTCTGGGCTAGATCCCAGGACCATGAGATCATGAACTGAGCCAAAGGCAGATGCTTAATGGACTGAGCCACCCAGGCACCCCTCAGATGAAAGTATTCTTTAAGAAAACCCTGAAACAGGCAGGACCAATACAAACTACTATTTTCTTTAAATATCTTGATAGTACGAACATAAAAAAACAAACTTCTAGAAATGTTTTAAAAGTAGTTAAAATACATAAAAAAGACACTGTTTTCGGCTGAAAAGCTCCTAGTGAGTAATCATCAGTTACAATGCAATACCAAAACTCTCAAAGACTGGGAACACACAGACAGTGGCCACCAAGCACTGAAGAACTCTCAGTACCCTCTAAGCTCTGTCTCCATTTCTTTACCTTCTACTCACTTCTCAAACTCAATGCACCCTGGCTTCTGCCCGGAACATCTCCCTGGAAACCCGTCTCCTCATCCAACAACTAGTGATCTTCATTGCCAGTCTAATGGACACTCGTCGCATCCTTCCTTCTTTGACTTTTCTGCAACTTCTGACACTACTGGCCATTTCCTCCCTGTTTCCGTGAGAGCCGCTGAGACCCACGCTGGCCAGCTCTTCAGCTCTTCCTTTCTCTCTTCCTTTGTGGGTTCTCATACTCTTGGTCAGGGGTCAGCGAACTTTTTCTGTAATGGGCCAGACAGTAAATATTTTAGGCTTTGCTGGCCCTACAGTCTTTGTCATGATGACTCCACTGTTCACATGTAGGCAAAAGCAGCCACATACAATGTATAAACGAATGAGTGTGGCTGTGTTCCATACAACTTCACTCACTGCACTAAAATATAAATTTCATATCATTTTCACCGCCAGAAAATAGTTTTCTTTTATATTTTTTTCTAACCACTGAAAAAATTGTAAACAGACATTCCTAGCTCATGGGCAGTACAAAACCAGGAGGGGAGTCAGATTTGCCCGGAGGGTTATAGCTGGCTACCCCCTAATCAGAGTCGTAAGATGGCAGTTGAATTTGGTCATGAGTTGTGTCTTTTTTATTAAAGATTTTATTTATTTATTTATTTGAGGGAGAGCACGAGCAGGAGGAGTGGCAGAGGGAGAGGGAGAAGCAAATTCCCCACTGGGCAGGGAGCATGATGCGGACTCAATCCCAGGGCCCTGGGATCATGACCCGAGCAGAAGGCAGATGCTTAATTGACTGAGCCGCCCAGGCGCCCATGAGTTGTGTCTTTAAAAAAAAAAAAAAACCTGAACATGAACGTGGGGCCCACACTCTTCCCACATTTAAGTTACTTGAGTACAAGTTCCCCCATGTTCAGATTTTAACATTTATATGCAAGTGTTTCCCAAATCACTACCTCCAACTCAGACCTCTTTCACCCTTCTCTTCAGCCCTCCAACTTGTTCCCCAGCTCCCATTATCTCTTAGATCAAGGAATAGAGTCATCACCCAACCATCTTCTCAAGGAGGGAAACTGGAAGGTATCTCAGACTTCGCTCTTTCCCTGCATATCATTATCCGATCATCATATCCCAATGAACCAAAGCATCTTTCCGATGCCTTCCTTCCTCCACCACCACCACTGTTTCTAACCAGGTTCAAGTCCTCATTACCTCCCACCTGGACTTTTCTATGCCCATCTATCTGAACCATATGTCACTATACCTCACATTCATTCACTCTCCAGAGGTAGCCAGTTCCATCTCTGAACAAATTGCTCCCACCAGTGTTAGAATACACAGGTGTTTCTACAAGGCGTGATGCATACTGTAAGTAGTTTAGTTTGTAAACTACTTACTTGGGTGGGAAAATCCACCTCAAATCTTAATAAATTAGAGTAGACTCAAGGTTATCCCAACCACCAACATGCCTTTACTAAACATGCCTTCTGGGGTAGACTCAGAAGACAGAGTTGTGGCCAATGGACCACAATGGTCTGTCATCCCAGGTATGCTGATGGGAAGGTGCTGTCCCTCAGCTGTGTCCCAGGTGGGGTAAAGGTCATGAACTGCTACTGTGGATGACAGTATCTAAAAATTTCAACTTATTTTGAGCTGGAAGCTTTTCCCCGTTGCTTTGCCTCTCACCATCAGTACTTTTGCTATGAGAATAAGTCTCACTGAACAAAACACCTGACAGACATTTACCAAGAGACTGCTAAGTGTCAGACACCAGAACCCTTCAAATCTTTGAAGACCGTTACCTGAGCTTCCTCAGGTGGTAAGCCTTCCACTGAGGGTTAAGCATCTTCATGTGTTTAACCCTTCTGAAGGCGACACAGGCTCAAACTCATTGACCAATCTGTCCCAAACCCCACAGGCTCCACAGAAGTTGATTTCTGTCTCTACCCAGTGTGGTGCCTATTATAGGAATTGCAAATGCCTTCCTAGATACTGTATTTCTACAAATGGCACTTAAGGTCATGTCAGTCATTTTTTTCCCCAAGACTTTATTTGAGAGGGAGAGAGAGAGAGAGTGCATGCACAAGTCGGGGCAGGGGCAGAGGCAGAGGGAGAATCTCAAGAAGATTCTGCGCTGAACACGGAGCCCAACATGGGACTGGATCTCACGACCCTAAGATCATGACCTGGGTCAAACCAAGAGACAGAGGCTTAATCGACTGAGCCACCCAGACGTCCCAGGTCATGTTAGTTTCTATAAATCAGTCATTTCATACTGATAACTACACCATTAAGCCAACCATGACCCTAACATCTTTTTAACAAGGCAAAATTGCTATGTCCAAACTCCTCCATTGCACAGTCTTTTTAGTCCTGATCTTTTTTTCCTTTTTTCTTTCCTTTCTTTTTTTTAAAGTAGGCTATAGGCCCAGTGTGGAGCCCAATGCAGGGCTTGAAGTCATGACCCTGAGATCCAGACCTGAGCTGAGATCAAGAGTCGGACGCTTTTTTTTTTCTTTTTTAATGTTACCAAGAGACTAGATTTTATTTATTTATTTATTTATTTATTTATTTATTTATTTATTTATTTTTAAAGATTTTATTTATTTATTTGACAGAGAGAGAGACACAGCGAGAGAGGGAACACAAGCAGGGGGAGTGGGAGAGGGAGAAGCAGACTCCCCGCAGAGCAGGGAGCCCGATGCGGGACTCGATCCCAGGACCCTGGGATCATGACCTGAGCCGAAGGCAGTCGCCTAACCAACTGAGCCACCCAGGTGCCCAAGAGACTAGATTTTAATTGTTTCCACCATAAAAAAGAAATGACAGTTAGGTAATGTGATGTGATAGCTAATGTTATTGTGGTAATCATATTGCAATATATGAATGTATCAAATCAAAACACTGTACACCTTAAACTTACACAATTGACACTCATGTCAATTATATCTCAATATAGATAAATTAAAAAAGAAGAAAATTAATTACAAGCAAAAGAAAAAAGAAAAGAAAAACTTTGTCAGCTTTTCCAGATATTTTGCTAATAGGGTTCAGAATTTTTTTTTTTTAAAGATTTAATTTATTTATTTGAGAGAGAGTGAGTGAGGGAGAGAGCATGTGCTGGGGGAGAGGCAGATGGAGAGGGAGAGGTGGACTCCCTGATGAGCAGGGAGCCTGACCTGGGGCTCAATCCCAGGACCCTGGGATCATGACCTGAGCTGAAGGCAGACACTTACCCAACCGAGCCACCCAGGCACCCCTAGGGTTCAAAATCTCTTATCTTTTAAAACTCTCTAAGCAAATATTCCTCTTTTTATCTGGAATTTTTCTCCTTCTCAAAATAACCACCAGAGTTCTCATCAGATAATTCTTCCTTAGTCTTCTATAGACTTATTTGTGATAGGCAACATTTGTCTTCTTAGATGAATAAAACAAATTGAGACATGTCATTACTCCACTACATTTTTTAAAAGAATGAAATCTATTTTTTCTTTTTGATTTTTACACGATAGGCGACTGTTAATATTCTAAGGATAATACTACTTAAAAAATAAAACACTGTCAAAATAATGAAGACAATTTAGAGATCTCTTTCCACAGGATATTGCAGAACAAAAACAAAACAAACAACCAAACAGATTTTTATAAAAGAAGATAGGACGTGAAATGATGAAGATAATCCCAGGGTCTTAAAAAACACAAGGTTGGAGAGGAGGGAAGAGTCGGGACGCTTAACCGACTAGCCACCCAGGCACACCTTTTTTGTCCTGACCTTACCCTTCATCCTGTTATATCTGGTCTATTACATCAATCCCACAGACTCTTTCGATTCTAAGTCCAATATCCAACAAAGTGCAACATCAGCTTCTACCTTAAGTGCTTCATATTGTCTGCTACTGGGCCGCAGGCCCGCCTCTAGGCCATGTCTTCACAGAACCTCCACCTGAAATCTTATCCTATTCTCCAGAATTCTTTTTTTTTTAAATAATGGAAGATAAAGACAGAACATATAAATCAATCTATTTTTTTTCCTGAAATACAGATAAATCTTACTTCAGTCCTCTGTACAACCAGAGACTTGGCACCAAGAGACTTTTTTCTTATAGGGTCTATTGGGAACAGAGAGGCAGAGTTATGGGGAGACTGCCTAAGGAAGGCACCATCTTTGGTAGAGGAACAGGAGCCAGAGACATCAGCTGAGGGAAGAGAAGAAAGGGATTTAGAGTGCCCAGACAGGCTCTTGGGAACAAAGATAAAAATGTGGCCGTAAAGTGGGGCAAAAACCCAGAAAGATCAGGCCCAGTGCTAGGCCCTGTCTTCATATAACCTCTACTTGAAATCCTGCTATATTATCTCCAGAATTCTCATTTTTCCTCTCCCTCTACTTATGGTCTAACCTACTACAGAGATAATTCTTATTTTTACTTCTATTTTCTCCCTGGTTCCACTAAGTAAATTCCTTAGGAGACCTGAAACAGGTTTTCAGCTCACTTTAGGATTATTTTAATTTTTGGCGGGGGTGGAGTTAGGAAGAGTTTGGAAACTGTGGGGCTGTATTCCATTTTATGGTAGGTGAGAGAAAAACCCTAACTGGAAAGAAAATTCAGTAGTAAGTAGAAAAGAAAGTTTGATTTTTAAGATTTTGGCAGAGGGAAAAGGAATGTGTTTCTGAGAACAGACCTAGCACACACACAAAAAAATCTAAGAAAGAATGCCTTAATGGATTTTTGATTTTCCAACAGAAACACCACTTACCATACAGAGCAGCTTGTTTCCACAGCTCAGTTGGTACTTGGCTTCATGAGCATTAGAGTTGTGGCCAGGCCCAGGAACCTAACCACCATGTTTCAACAACCACAGAGCCTGGATTTTCCAGGAAAATGCCAATATTCTCATCTGTTGTCCTGATAAATCATCAGAAAGTCCTATAAACATAAATACTATGTGCCCAAATTCTTTCCTAGATAGTATGTTGGTTTAGAAAATATGGACACTGTACTACTATCAATAACTCTATTTTTATGGTAAAGTGTAACTTCTATTTCAAACATATAATTTATAAAGATACTTCCAAATAAAGCCCATTTTTGGGTTGGTACTGGCTGAAAGTACAAGGGGAGAACACTATTCTAATTAAGATAATTATAACTAATAATGGCTCTTATCAGTTAATTTTATAAATCACTACAAGGTCCCAGACTACATTCTCCCTTGAAATGCATTTTGATTAGAAATATATTGCAGTAGTGTCTAGTCATCTGAGAATCTGTTTTCCAGAACTAAGTTTCCTTAAAAACTAGCACTGTCTTTATTAGTTTTCCATCACTGTATGACATGCTTTGCCCTGGTAGTCCAACAAAAGAAAACAAAACGAAGAAGAAACCAATCATTAGAGAGCCTCCCATCACATCTTGGCCTATCCATTCATCCACCTGGACCTTCCTCCAAGTTATCACAGTCCTAATATGATTCCTTTCATCGGGGCAGTGGTTCTCAACCTGGTGTCACCTACGGAGCTTCTCAAAATACATCTGCTAGGGCTGTGGCCTGAGACCATGAAGGTTTGGGAGGAGGTACATGTTTATGTATTTTGAAAAGTCAGTCTATGCAAATGATTTTAATGCATACCCTAGTTGAGAACCATGTATTTAAATGGGCAAGGATAGGGGCTAGAACACTGGTCTCAAGGAATGAAGTCTACCATTCTGAAGGGGAACTGACCAAAAGTGTGGCCATCACCAGACTGCATAATCAAAATTGCACCAGATTATGCACAAGACTGCATAATCAAAATTAACAGAAGACAGAGAGAGAGATCTGAAAGCATACAGACCATTAGGTTGGGGATGACTTGAAGGACATATGCTTCTGTTTAGAACACATCACTATTTTGTAACAGAGTTAAAATGTATTATTTTTTTGAAAAAGCACATTCCAGGCTCTAGCTCAGAGGACCACGTGACCATCCTAGACATAACACTCCCTTTCAGACACAATACATGTCGTGGATCAAGATGGTTAACAATCCTCTGCAGTTCCCATCTATAAGTTAGGGGCTAAAGTTTTTGTTACTGTTTTGAAAAGGTTCAGTTCAAAATCACGACCCATATACTTTCAAAACAAGGTATTACTTTTTCTAATCTCTTTTGCCTTCTAAAAACTTTAAGGCCAACTAGAAACACTACTACAAGTACTTTTAATTTGTCATTACTGCTCTTCAGTGGCTGCAACCAACTTAATTACTTTGCATCCACTCTCACTAATCAAGTGGATTGGAGGCTGAGTCAGCAAGGGTGTAAAATCTAAACACAGACGGTTCCAAAGACTGAAAAAAGAAAAAAAAAATCTTACCTTTGGTTTTTTGTTCCGTGACCTGAAAAATAAATTAACAGACATAAGGCAATGAGATTTGCTTTCCAGTTCGGTATTAAAAAACTACTGTAATTCTAAGGACTTAAGTAATTCAAGCTATCAGACACGCAGACGTAGTTCAGATCCAGAAAAAAAGCTTGAGAGCTCAGACATCCTTCTATAAAGACAATGGCCGTATGTCCAGTTACAACTTACATGACCACTATTATGGATACTAAAAATTAAAACAAAAAGCATTCCACTCTTACTATATGATGAAGTACCTATACCTGTATGAAGTACCTGTTTGTCATTTGATGCTATGACTAGAGAAAAGCAAAGGATGGAGCCTAGAAACTAAATTAGCCATAGAGACAAAAAGATCACCCTATGAGTATGGACTCAAACACTCAATTTCAAATCTAGAAAGCAAAAGTTCAGGGGCCCATCATCAGAGGTATCAGGCCGTGGCAGAAAGGCAGGATTTAAAACCAAGCCATGCCACTTCCTGGCTGTGTGATCTCAGTTTTCTATTTATCTGTTGAATGGAGATTAGTAATAATAGTATCTCGGTACAAAGGGTTGTTATAAGGATTAAATCAGATTATCCTATGCCAATGCTCAATAAATGTTTGTTGTTTTTAATCAAAGTTCACAAAGAACAGTATGAAATACAGCAATGAGTGAAACGTGTAAATCTGGAACAAATAAAGATTGCTTTGTTGAAAGTATTTCTTTACATAGTAGCTATTACATCTATGGAAGTGATTAACCTAGAAGGTTGGACAGGCTGAATGTAATAACGGGTTTTTAGAGAGTTTGGAAATGATGATTAGGAGCCACATGGAAAACTGCTTCTGCTATTAAGAGAGGAAAATAAAGGAGGGCACCTAATTATACATGCCCTATAATATTAAAAAACCACAAAAGGCCATGCATAAGAAAAACATCCAAAAGGAAATTCTAGAATTACAGAATTCTAATAGACTTATATTATTTTCCTTATTATTATTGAGATCATGCATGATTTTTGACTCCCTTTTCCCAAATGTTAATCTTCTAAAGCATTTTTTTTTTAAATTATTTATTTGACAGAGACACAGTGAGAGAAGGTACACAAACAGGGGGAGTGGGAGAGGAAGAAGAAGCAGGCTTCCCATAGATGCGGGGCTCGATCCCAGGACCCCAGGATCATGACCTGAGCCGAAGGCGGATGCTTAATGACTGAGCCACCCAGGCGCCCCTAAAGCATTTTTAATGGTTCTCTGACTTTGTAATAGAAAAGAAGATGTTTGGTTTTTGTGGCTGATAATCATACCAAGCTACTGCTACGGGTGCTCACGAAAACATGCTCGTCGTCTTTGGAGTGTATGTCCCATAGCTAACCAACCCGCTTTGCGGGGGATTCCAGCACTCTAATGCCCGACACTGAATCTGAATTACATGCCCTAGTTGTATGACCTCCTGGAGTGTTCCTTACATTCCTGCATCAAAAGGCAAGCTAATTCCACTCTGGTGAACTTGTAGGAGACAGTGTTTCAAAATGCCTGTGTTTCCCTGTACTGTTACAGAGCTCAAGTCTACCGAGCAGTTTTTGTAAAACACCATTTAACCAAGAATGAACTGATCTGTATCCATACACCAATTCCTTAAAGCAATTTAAATTTTGTAACATTATAAACATTTCTTACAATGCCATTTTGAAGATCAGCTATACAGGAAGTCAATCAATGCCTTCCCCAGCTGTAAGCGACAAACCCAAATAATGTCAAATGTGTCTTACAATGTGGGTTCTGTTAAAAGAGCTGTCCTCCAGACGGTGAAAAGCTGGATGATCAAAGCATATGTTCTGCCAACACTGAACAATGATCCTTTAGCAGCATCAGCTTAATGAATGTGAATGGAATCCTTCCTTGACACCTTTCTCATGAATGGAAATCTAACACCGTTTACTCAGTGATGGCTCTAGAAAGAGCAAACGGCTCATGAGACAAGCTCAAGTTTAATGTCTGTGTGGAAATAACTTGATTTAGCTTTAAATAAAAGTTCATTCTTCAAGAAAATTACATTGCCAGCACTCATTCTTAGCCACTGATCTATTAAACAGTTTCTGAGTGACTCTTACGTACCAGGCACTGCCCTAACTTCCCAGAAATACAAATATGAGTAAAACCTTGAGAAATTTACAGTCAGTCTAATGGGAAGACATACACAAAGAGATGATTTTAAAGCAATAGGGTAAGCAGCGAGAAGGATGTGGAAGCACCGTAAATGGTGCTGACTGACTGAATGAATGAATGACCGCATAATAGAACCTCTGGCACATTCTCTACAATTCTTTGCATCATAGCACATTTTATGCCTCCTCGTTGAGGCGCTGTCTCTACAATAAGGTTGGAAGCCACTAAGACAATCACATGGTAAGCTTTGTGCTCTTCCTTAAAACTGCTAAATCAGAACTTAATTCTGGAATTACACAACGGTTTGGTATGATACAACAATATCCAAGACCATGTGTTGGCCTGGATCCTGCGTCAGCCAATCTAGAACATTTCTGAACAAAAATGATTGGATTTTATTGTTCATAAGTAACCATTTGAAATTTTATTTATGGTGATTTTCTTCTTTGCCTTAACTTCTGAACCAGTTCTTAATGCAGATGCTAATACACAGGGGAGATTGTCCAGCTGTATAAACGACATTCTCTGCATAAATCTCAAATCTGCTCTTGAATAAACCCACACCATCTTGTATTTTAAATCATTTTTCTATTAGTGGGATCCACAATGAAAGTTTACAGATGCATATTTTATCAATCACTTCCAGATACTGATTATTTTCCAGTTGAGAAACATTATTATTTATGTGAAGAATGAAGACAGACCATTGACTGCCTAAAACAATCACTCGACTTGCTATCTTCTTGTTACCAGCCTTTGCTCAAGTTCACCGGTGTCCTGCCTATTAAACATTCATTCCCACAGACTGCAAAATCCAATTTTTATACCAATTTAGTTGATGAAATGTGAATGCCCTGAAGGAAAGAAAGCCTTCACTGTGATTCATTCTCCGTCACTCCAGTTGGAAGGTCACTATGTGGAGGGGCAATGCCCTGACACCCTCCGGCTGGTGGACCTGCTTATCACAATCTCAATATGTGGAATGGGGCTGTCTCTCCAAAGGCAAGTATGAAAAAAGCCTCTGGGTTGTTATCTGACATCTTTATTCAGACTCTTTACTGACATTTTAGACAATTCTAACAAGCTCAGATTAGAAGCAACACGTTAGAAGCAGGTACCCTGACAGCATGAGGATGCGATGGTAAGCACACCACTATTAACAGAAACAAACACAATTAAAAGCAGACAAAACCTTAATGAACATGTACAGCAGTCTATTATATTATAGTACCAAACAATAACGAGTATTACTTCTAATTAAGTCATGAAGAAAAGATAAAATTATATTTCGTATGTTTAATGTGGCAGGGTCATATGCAATCCAATTCAGAAAATATTTCCAGTATCATTTTTTCTCCTGGCACTCATAAATGATCTATTTCAAAAATTCAGAAAACTGACTTAAGGGAATATACGTTATATCCAATAATGCTGGGAAAACTTGTGGTGTCCCATTATATAACCCTGCACTGGCTTGTGTCTGATTGCCTGCCTTGAGTCTGTTCTAAATCTAGAGTTCCCTCTGAACCTTGTAACAGTTTCTACCTCCCTAAACTTATAACCTGGCACTGTAGCAGGGACCCTCAAGCCTGCCTCACAGCGACGGCCTGCTTCCCAAGTGTGCTAGGCAGTGGTAACAAGAACTGGAGGCAAATCACTTTACCTCCCAAAAAGGCATCAAAACACCCCTGCTGAGCCAGAGCCCAAGTCCGGCAATGCTGAAGAATGGCAAAGTGGGGGAAATAAGATCAGACCAGAGAGGGGGCAGGGGGGCACACACTGAAGGAGAGGGGGCGGGGCCTCTGATCTCTGCTCAGTCAGTGCTGAGGTCAAGCACGTCAATTAAGACTTGCCAGTTGACAGAGGTGAGGCCTGTGTCTTTTTTCTTTTAGCATCTCTTCTTCCCTAAGCAAGTGACTCAAAGCCATGGAATATTATCTCCCCCACAGCTCTAAGCAGATTCTTACAAATGACAGTGCTGTAGAAGGACCAAAAGGAGAACATTGGGGTGAACTTAACAAAAGCCTTGAAAAGTTATTTTATAAGCTGACCTAAGAAAATGGAGATTAATTATGATACAAATAAGAAAATTCAGCAAGAATTTAAGTGCTGGGGACTCTCTTGCCTTTCTCAATATTGTTTACTGCTGTTCTCATTAAATCGGCTGCAGCATTCCTGAATATCTACTTTATGAAAACAAATGTAGGTCTTCAACTTTCTCCCACTTTCAGATCTTAAAACTTTCAAGTAAGCTAAGTAAGCAGCACTACTGAGCTGTCAGGTATCCAACCCAAGGCAGTTACTTATTCTAGATGCTTGGTGGATGTCAAGACAGACTTAAGTGATTAAACCCACCTTCTGAGTGGCTTCTTTTTTCTTTTTATCCTCTTTCTTCCTTTTCTTGTCTTCCATTAACTGTTCTTCCCTTTCTTGCTCCTTCTCTCTGTTAAAGTAATATCACACCAGAAGGTTAACGTCTATATTCACAGTCTATTTGTGTAGCAAATGAAATGCTTGTAGATGGTGTGCAAACATTCCATCTCTGTGACTGAGAAGAACCTGGTATTTTACTTAAACTGAGAGGATGCATAAAACTCACCACATTTAGTTATCCCCATATTTTGGTTTGTTACTCCTTTTACAAAATAGGACCGTTTGGTTTCGAAGAAGCCCATTAAAGTGAGCTTTAAAATATCTTCCTAAAAGAAAAAACACACACACTCAGGAAAAACCCTGATTTGAATATATGACAACATCTGGTTGGCTTCTGGGGATATTCCTGGAATCCATGGATTTATAGAACACTCAGTACCTAGCCTTAAAAACACAAGTAGAAAACACATAAAACATACAGCATTAATAATGTCAAAGAAAAATTTTTTGATAGGCAATATTCCTCACAAATAATACAGAATATATTAATTTAATCATGACACGCAGATATTTATCACAATTTAGGTATCTTCCCATGACATCTCCAGCATGGTTAACATAAAACTCTGTGTTCTATATTTCATATTTTTCTTCTACATTTTTTTTTTTAAAGATTTTGTTTATTTATTTGACAGAGAGAGACACAGTGAGAGAGGGAATACAAGCAGGTGGAATGGGAGAGGGAGAAGCAGGCTTCCCGCGGAGCAGGGAGCCCGATGTGGGGCTCGATCCCAGGACCCTGGGATCATGACCTGAGCTGAAGGCAGACACTTAACAACTGAGCCACCCAGGCGCCCCTCTTCTACATTATTAATACTGTACATTTTACATGTTTTCTACTTGTGTTTTTAAGGCAGGTACCAAGCATCCTATAAATCCATGTATTCCTTACTGAATGAGTTCACAGCTGCATCTTCCTGGAAACCTGAATTAAGACAACCAGGTTTTGCTCTCCTCAGTGAGAGCAAAAATGACACACAATACTAAACATTCTAGTTGAAGAAATGTGCTGAATCTTAAGAAATTAAGATAATGTAATTAATGCCTCACATCTAAAAAGAATGTGATATTTATTCTCATAGATTATGTAACATATTCTAATATATATTCGAATAGAATGTATATAGAAAGCTGCCAACTTTCACTCTCTATGTATCAAACGGGAAAAACCCACTGCTGTTGCTTCAAAGCTCAAGGCAGGAAACCCAGATGCCACACTTTCTGAATTGCAGAGCTAGAAGGAGATTTAGAGATCTAATGCCTAGTTCCCCCAAAGTACTGAACAGATACTTGTGATTTTAGGTGATCAACACACTAAACTCATGGCTTCACGGATACCATCTAGAAAAATGCTAAGTTAAAAGTCAGACACATTAAAGAAAAACATGAAGTAAATGTTTGCTGACGTGGCAAAAGTCACAAAGACAGTTCCTGAAGACTCAAGTCTGGGGAGTGGTAACGATTCAACCTGTACAAAGAACTGAGGATCAACACTGAAGCTGGCTCTCATGACTAGGTAATGCTTTATTTCTAGGAAACGAGAACGAAACAACAAAAAATAGGTGTTCTACCTACATGTCAAGCTTTCTGTGGTTCTACCCATATTCACAAATATTGGCCTTTCTCCTTCTGTGCCTCTGGCATAAATATACAAAAGCCTAATGTGCACAATTCACACCCCAAAGGTAACTTCAATGAAAACTTTACAAATACCATCAAGGAAGAGATTTTACTGTAATTCCCTTAGGTTGAATGCTGGAATTCTTTGGAATCAGATTATGTGTCCCTCAGTCTCAGTGTGATGCTCTTGGTGAAAATCCACCTGCAGTAATTCACTACTTTAAGAACATGGCTTTATGAAAATTGGCAAGATGGATGTTGACCATTTAAGGCAGGCTGGTCAGAGATCCTGTCGTTAGGCTCCCAGAGCCTCTTGCTTCCTCTGGGATTCCTCATGACCCAGTTACTGTAACTCCGTTCCGGTATTTTAAAGTGCAATGGACTACTGAGAAAGAGCAACACAGTCTGAAAATCTGTTTAAATATTCAATGCTTTAAAGAGCAGTGAGTTGCAATTTCTTTCTATAGCTTAAGTTTATTTTAAAAACGCAATGAAAAAAAAAAAAAAAGCAAAGTAAGTCTTTAATGAAACACATTCTTAAAAACAACTAATCTTTTCAAGTATTTTTTCCTATAAACAGGTAATTCAGGGAAAGGGACTGAGATTCATGTTCACTACAAGCAGATTTATTTCCAAAATAAATATTTTTCAAAGCTTTCCAGGAGACAGGCTGTGCTTTCACCCTGATCTTCTACTGCTTATATTGGTAGAATTGACTTTTCTCTTTGGATTTCACTTCCTTAGGAAGAATTTATTTTCCCAAAACAAACCTGACTTAAAAACCTGCCATTTACTTAATAATGAATCAAAAAGTACAAAGTTCATCTTTTTCCTCATTCAGTTGTGCTCTATCCTGGCTGCACATCAGCATCATCGGGGAGCTTTAAAATATCCCCATGCTGAGCCAGAACCCAACAGGGCAAAGAGGGCATCCATGAAGGGAAGGTTACATACAGGGGGACTGATCAATCAATAAATATATTAATGACGATGACAACCAGGTTTCTCACTGTTGAAAAGGTAGTTATCAAAAGGGAAAGGGAAAAAGCTCAAAAGAGTCCTGTGGAGTTGGATCAGAATTAGTTCTTGGCATCAACTCATGGTTTTTAACATATAGAGACAGACATAACAATAAACATAGCTGTGATTTTTGTGAGTCCACACGTGCATATTTTCCTTCATGTATGCAAACACACACACACACACACACACACACACTCAAACACTCACTCACCTAGCTCTATTACTGAAAGGACTTGGGAACAAGCAACACTCAGATAGCAACGAACACACCTAGTACCCAGACTGTGGCTTCTAAATACCATTCTGAAAAAGAACTAGAGTTCTGGGGCGCCTGGGTGGCTCAGTTGGTTAAGCGACTGCCTTCGGCTGCGGTCATGATCCTGGAGTCCCTGGATTGAGTCTCGCATGAGGCTCCCTGCTTGGCAGGGAGTCTGCTTCTCCCTCTGACCCTCCCCACTCTCATGTGCTCTCGTGCTCTCTCTCTCATTCTCTCTGTCACAAATAAATAAACAAAATCTTCAAAAAAAAAACTAGAGTTCTTTTCTAAAAGAGCTAATTTGGGGGGGCACTTGGGTGGCTCAGTGGTTGAACGTCTGCCTTTGGCTTAGGTCATGATCCCAGGGTACTGGGATTGAGTCCCACATCCCGCTCCCTGTTCAGCAGGAGGCCTGCTTCTCCCTCTCCCACTCCCCCTGCTTGTGCTCTCTCTCTTGCTGTGTCTCTCTCTGTCAAATAAATAAAAAAAAATAAAAATAAAAAAATAAAAGAGCTAATTTGGGGCTAGGGCAAAGGAAGTACAAAATGAGTGTGGAATGCTCGTTGCCAAGAAGCAAGGAAATGTTCAACGAACGATGCGGTGTGTCAAATGGTTGCAGAGACCAATTTGAAGGGGTTCCTACAAGTTAAATCTGCGACAGTATGCACATAAAAATAATGATGGTAAGAAATCATAAGCCATCGTATAAAATAGGAAAACATGAGTCCATACAGATAGAAATAAGTAAATGAGTAATTAGAAGTGAAAGAAATGGAATATTCACATAGTTTTAAGGTACCTCCCCATAAAAATAATTATTAATTAGAAAGGAGAAAAGAATAAGTGTATACACACACACACACACACACACACACAAAGAATAAGTACACAGAGGACAAGCCCGGCAGACACCACCTTAATCAAGTAAAACACATGAACATCATCATAATGGGATAAATTGAAATTGTGAGTTGCTTGATTAGATGCTCTGAGAACACAGAATCTCTTCTATGATATTCCTCTCAAATATGTATAACCTGAATATTATCATGAGGAAATGTCAGAGAACCTCAAACTGAGAGGCATTTTACCAAATAATGGGTCTGCAATCTTCAAAAGTTTCAGGATCACTGAACCTCAAGGAAACAGAATGGATTAACAAGACAAAATAACCAAATGCTAAGTGTGATTCTTTTGCTGTAAAGGCCATTACTAGGCTAAGCGTCAAACCCTGTGTAGGGGCTGAAGATTAAATGGTAGCAATGTGGGCGCCTGGGTGGCTCAGTTGGTTAAGCGACTGCCTTCGGCTCAGGTCATGATCCTGGAGTCCCAGGATCGAGTCCCGCATCGGGCTCCCTGCTCAGCAGGGAGTCTGCTTCTTTCTCCCTCTGACCCTCCCCCCTCTCATGTGCTCTCTCTCATTCTCTCTCTCTCAAATAAATAAATAAAATCTTAAAAAAAAAATGGTAGCAATGTATCAGTGGGTTTGTTTGGTTTTTTTTTTTTTTTTTTTTGATAGTTGTATTGTGGTTATATAGGAGAATGTTCTTGATTTTTAGAAATACACTAAAGTACAGGGGAAAGGGATGCAGGTGATGGGACACTAGGACAGCAATTTATTCTTAAGTGATTCAGGAAAAGTGTTGTTGCTGTTTTCATCACACTTGCAACTTTTCTGTAAGTTCAAGATTGTTTCAAAATAAAACAAAATTTAAAAAATCAACAAAACCATTATTGGGGTAAGCACCCCAAATCAACTACATAGGAATCTCTGGGGAGAGAACCACTGCTCTAAGTTCTTGTGTTTAAGCCTACATTTTTTTTTTTAAAGATTTTATTTATTTATTTGAGAGAGAGAATGAGAGACAGAAAGCATGAGAGGGAGGAGGGTCAGAGGGAGAAGCAGACTCCCGCTGAGCAGGGAGCCCGATGCGGGACCTGATCCCGGAACTCCAGGATCATGACCCGAGCCGAAGGCAGTCGCTTAACCAACTGGGCCACCCAGGCGCCCTAAGCCGACATTTTAAAAGGTATTTATACCTCAAAAATCAAAGCTTCAATCCAGCAATCAAATACAAGTGCCAGGTGACTAGTTGGGTCCCACTTAACCA